TGAATGGCGAGAAGCACGCAATCACCAACGATGATTGCGGATGATCGACGGTCAACGGCAAGGAGGAGGTCTCGTGTGTATTGTTGTCGGCGGAAAGTGCACTTGAGCGCACTCATATCTAAATCATCTTCTCTCACTCCACGAGGCTCTTGCTGCTGTGTTCCCCAGTGTGCACACAGATGTATTCCAACCGTCGAGTGGACCTCACAATTCACCGCTGATCTGACGTTTTGCGCCAAGACGCCAAGACCTCGTATAGCTGAGCTGGTCTGGGCTTATAGTTTAATGTGCATATCAAGCCACGACACTAGCTGCAGGTTTAGATGCAGCTACAGTATAGGGGGATTATGCAAATATAGCCACAGTCATCATGCGGGTATGTGGTCATCTTTGTGATAGAACTATATTAGGTCCGACTTATGGCTACTACTTTCCCCGATCGGGATGCCGATGTATGGCCGGCCCAGGTAAGTCAGATATTGTTTTTCACTTCAATACTTCAACACTCCAACTCATACCAAATCTACAACTACACAACTTGTCGACCACTTTCGGCATATCTTTCTCTTACATTTTCAGATGCCCAGGCGGAGGATTGACACTTTTGTTACAGAGAGCCGTCCTATTAATCACTAGGATATACAGTTGTTCTTCTTGAAATTACCATACTGCACTACCAGGATGTATCCCGACACCGCGACGTTGCGCCCCTTCAACACAGAGAGAATCGCATCTTAGACATCATGGATGGCATAGCACTTAGGCTTCGGCAGTTAGAAGGGCAACCTCAAATCCATGAAAATGGTGTTGATGATGATGCGCCATGTGGCCATTAGCCTGCTACCTGCGAGGAACAAGAATCATATACTTATTTGCTAAACCTTGTATAAATTATGGCATGGACGACTCACAGTCCCGTGAAATCAATCCAAATTGACAGCATGTTTACTGAACTTCCGAATCCGAGGTCCGTAGATGTATAGCAAGTATGGGATCACAGCCATGACAGAGCTGATAGCACCCAGAATAGTGAGAGTGTAGTGAGGTCCGATCGCCTCGTAGATTGGACCACCAGCAACCGTGACACCACCGGCCACCACATATCTTGTGAAAACGAGGAAGCCCAGCGCAGAAGCCGAGTATACATCATACGCATCGATGATGTACATATATGCGACGATGAAAATGGTCATGATGCCATAGCCGAAGACGACCGATGCGATGAGTGGGGACCAGATCGAGACAGATGGCTGAATGAGAGTGAATATTAGTAACTGAGGCCTCAATGGATTTGGAACTGAGAACTTACATAGCAGGTCCAGCCCATCCAGAATAGGCTCACAGGCACTGCTGGTGCACCGCCTAGCATTGCATACCACAGACGTGTCTCTGGAAGAATGCGACCAGTCTGTTTATACTCCTTCGCAGTCCAAGAGTAAACCACCGGGACGGTACAGCCAGTGAGGACAATGCCAACAAGCATACCAGCCCATGAAACGTTCGTCAACCCCAGCGAAAGCCCGTAAGGCTCACCGAAGACGTAGGTGTATCCCTCCAGAAAAGTGAAGAGAACGATATAGACGACAGTGAGGTACACCGACATAAGAATGATGATCAACTCAGTGTAGCTCCAAAGGAAAGGCCTATAGATAGCGATCAACAAGCGACGGCCCAGACTCTCTCTCCTCATCTCCATCGGCGCCCGGTATCTCTTGTCTCCGGTTTCCCGGCGAAGAATCGAAGCCTTCCAATGCAACAAAAGATTGCCATATGTCTCAGGTTGCATCAAAACAACAAGGATAAGAATGGCACCGCCCATAATGAGCATAAGCCATTCCAGCCAGCGCCATCCCAGTGTAGTTGGAACATAACTACCGATAATCTGACCAATCATCGGGCCACAGAAAGCCGGAATCGCATACACGGGGAAGGCATAAGCCTTTTGCACTGGATTCCACAAGTCCGCGACTGTTCCGCCAGCACAGCTGAGTGGAGTAGAACCAAAGAAACCGGCTAAGAATCGGAAAATGAGATGACTGTGGAGATTTGGAGCGAGACCAGCGGCCATAATGAAGATCAGGAAGACAAGCATTGTAATGAGGTAAACTGCATTGCGTCCGAATGTCTCGGAGAACGGTCCTGATAGGAGAGAGCCGACCCCGAAGCCGATTAAGAACAAGCCTAAGTCACACTGTTAGACCGGATACTTTTCGGAGAGAGCTGTTGACTTACCGGTAGCAAGAGACCCAACAACCTCTGAGACATGGTAATATTCACTATATTGTTGAACACCGCAGGCATCAATGGCAGATGCTGCCGTGACAGCAAGCGCAATCAGAGATACCAATATCGTCATGAATAGCTTGCGCCCAATACTATAGTTTGCGGGATTCAGGGGATCATCTTTGCCATCCCAGCCCACAAGGATGACGGAGTCTTCCGCATTACCAGCTCCCTCGGGAGTAGATGAAGATCCATTCTCATCGAGCTGAGAAGTGTTCGACCCAGAGCTAGAGAGTCAAATATAAGTATCAGAAGACAAGAAACATGAATGAAATTGGTAACCTACTTTGCATTCCCGTGCACACTGCCCTCGTCAACATGCACTTTGGCGTCCAACCGCTTTCTAACAGCGCATTGAATACGCCTATACTGGAAATAAGATTCCATGGCAACAGGCCAGAGCTCCCAAAGGGTCAGAACAAAGAGGGAGACATAGGAGTAGAGGCTTTATAACACCATCGAATTTTCAGCCCTCTATGGGTGACTCCACAGACAAAAATCGACCCATCGGCCTTCGACCCACCGATCAACCCCCTATCCGACCATTTTCGGGGTTTCCTACCGACGCAGACTGCACTGTGCGGGTTATCCTCGGCCTGTGCCTTTTTGCCGACCCACCGAATTCCATACTTCCCGAACTTCCGTTAGACTTTGCCGCCTCGGGGATGCTTATTTTGCAAACTGAAGCACGTTCAACACGGTTGATCCATGGATTCACCTCAGTACGCCTCACCTGAAACATCACCAGAAGATCGAGGATGGCATTCCTGCCGCTCTGTGCTACCCAACGTGTTACAACGCATGTGGCGAGTGCGTTTTCGCGCGCTATTTGAATGGATCCCCAAATTGGGGTAATACACGGCAATAGTTGCTGCTAGACCCTCTGAATCGAGGCTTAGTTCTATCTCTATGAATTGAAAGTTGGGGGAATGTACAAAATGGGTTGCATACTGCACCTTATAAGAATGAGCTTACCCCTTGGTTCGCCATTTCCCATCCTGGGTCTTTATGATCGTAGGGCATTCAGGATCAGATGGAATCACTTCCATAACATCAGATCATGAAGTCTGCGTCGCCTTAAGGTTTGCCACAGGTGAGATGGACAAAATCGTGGCTGGGAACCTCATCGGGGTGCAAGGGATCTATATTCATATCTGGAGAGGAGATTGAGTTGATATGCACTGATATGCACTGCACGTGATAGCACTTTTCCATCTCTTGTTCGAGAGTAGTTGCAAAAGCTATAATAGTATAGTTGACTCAAGTTAACTACCATGAATCGGGACCGTGACATTAAGGCCACCCGCACCTCATCCTTGGCATAATATCAGCAAATCGCCGACTGCCTCGAATCTCACAGATGCACCACCTGCGCTTCCTGGTCTCATGCTGCGCTCTCCGTGGAAGAGAAGTTCAAATAGGCTCTGACCTGCCTTGTTTTGGCGTTTACTATTCTTCTCAAACTAGGTGACCCTATTGTATGCTTGAAGATGTCTCCCGCAGACTCGATTTTCCACTATATTTACGGCCTTCAGCCTCCAACTACCTCCAAACGGAAAGAACCAATGCAGATCTTGGCTGTCGGCATTTCTAGATCTGCCACCGAGTCTCTCCGCGAGGCGCTTCATGTCCTTGGCTTCAATCACACATTCCATGGATTCGATACCATTCTCCCGCCATCGTCCCTGGAGGCAATTTATCGGCTTCTACAGAAGAAGTACAACACTGCTCCAAAACACGGCGAAACAAACAAGTTGACTGCCGAAGATTTTGACACCGTTCTAAGCGATTGTGTCGGTGTCAGCGACCTGTTCGCAGCAGAATTCGCTCCCGAGCTCATCGCAGCCTATCCCAACGCGAAAGTAATTCTGAATACTCGCCAAGATCTCGATAGCTGGTACACCAGCATGCAACAAACAATGGGATATTTCGATAAAAACCCCGCTGACTGGGACTGGGTCAAGAGCTGGTTCAACGCGAATTTGTTCTGGATTCGACAAACGATGTGTCGCACGATGATGCCACGGTTCTTCCGAGGTAGCTTCTCTGCAAATGGTAAATGGGTCTATGAACAACATGTGGCTACGGTTCGAGGACTGGGATTACCGCAAGATCGGTTGCTGGAATGGTCTGTTGGGGATGGCTGGGAACCGCTTTGCAGGTTTCTGAACAAGGATATTCCACAGGAAGCATTTCCTAGCGGGAATCCACCTAAAGCATGGGCGGAGCGTATTGCCACTACTATGCAGGCTCATCATGAACGAGCTTTGAGGAATATGTTTATTTTTGGGGTTGGTATGTTTGCCTTGGCATTAGCCTTTGGGATATATATGCTCAAATGATGAGTGTATGAGATAGCCGCGTTATTCAATAATCATATCCCCAAATTGCGCAATAAGTTCGTTGACCTGGCTCATATCTGTTTCGTCGTACCTACTTAGAACGGGTTTTGTTTCTTCCAACTCACCCAAGGGCGACCTTTCTACAAGTATACAGCATAGGAGCCAATACTCATATGCGTTCTTTATGAAGCCGACTCGCTTCCACATTCCCGGAAATGAATCACCCTCTTCATCTGTCCCAGAGCCAACTTCACCGATTCTTTGGTTGTTCCACGCGTCTTTCCAATTTTTGAGACCACGTTCAACCCGTTGCATCGCGCCCGGGGGCGCCAGAGAATTTTGAATCTGGAAGGTGGAAGTGTGCAATCCTAAGTTTCATGCATGCGTAAGCATCGAATCATAATCAGTGGAGGTTGCCATACCGGTAATCATGGAGAACATATTGAGTATTCCCATATTAGTAAAGAGACTTCTTTCTTCTATATCAAGAACGGGCTTGCAAAGCGTCTCCAGGGCTGAGGCTATAGAGCACTGATTATAACGGGGAATAGTAGGGACCCATTTTTTCAGAAGTGAAAAGCACTCGGTTGCAGTGACCGCTTGGAATGTCTCATCGGGGCTGGTGAGGCTCATTTGCATTTCGAAAATCACTATCCTGGGTGGCGTATTGTTGAAGATGGTAAATGCCCCATCAAGCAGGTAGATATAGCACAGTGTTCTGAATAGATGTCAGCAGTTACCCATGAGAAGCAGGCACGAAGGACGAACCGAATCTTGGTTTCCATTCCAATAAATCTCGCCCATTCGAACATACTTTCATCATTTAAGAGTGAGAAATCTTGGTGAGTGGCAGAAGTCCGTTGAAGGCTTCGGGCAACCTATGATATAGTGTCAGATTAAATCATCACCGAATATCTAATCAATGCTGCAGCTAGCATACCGCAATCAGGGTATTATAGCGATGTCGCCTGATCCGTGCTTTGCTGGAATCTGAACCTTCCCAATTTTGATAAAGACACACAAAATAGGCTGCCTGAAGGGACTCCAAACGCTGCGATTCACCTGTGACGTCTGGAGAATGTGTTGCTGCCCCTAAATCTTCGTCAAGCCAATCATCATCGAAAACCATTTCCTCTACTGCATCAAACCACGCTTTTGCCATTTCATTATCTCGCTCATCTGGAGAGAGACAACTTCCAATAATTGCCATAGATACCAGGAGACAAGCAGATGCGTCTTTTGGATCAAATGAAGGCTTATGTATGATTGGACAGTTAGGATACCATAAACACCAGAAAATGCGAAGGAATTTGCGAATATTGGCCGGATTGAAAGATTGGAGACAAGTGGATTCAATCAACTTCGACCATGTAATGGTTATAGGGCTCTTTCTCGATTTTTGTTGGATAGTCTCCTTGAGTCCATGAACGATTTCCTGTGTTTTGAACACAAGCGGATCCCTTGCCCATTCATGTAGCCCGGACAATGATGAATTTGGCTCCGTTGGAAAATGCGGCAAATCGGCTCTTAATGAAAATTCCCAGCTCCAACTGCCTTGTAGCACATCGTCAAAATCAGAGGTACCCTCGGTGTCAAGACCTTCTATGGCTGCGACTTGACGCCGTTGACGGAGACTTCCACAGCTGAAAGAATTGGCGATTCCAAAGGTGGTCGTAAATTTGGATAGAAATTCGAATTTGGTATGTGAAGTCCCTATGGGTATACTTTCACACCAGGAAGTACCCCACGGTGATATGGACATATCCAACGTTTCCTGGGGAGGATTGATGAATGGGAACAGCGGAACTGAGGTTGTGCATGGTGATGCATGGCCCAGAAAATTGGAGGACATTGTTGCAATATCTGGTGACGCCGATATAGCAAGCACGCTTGTAAGGTCGTTCTTCATACTCACTGATAGAACATCACTTGACGCCTTTGAATCCATATCTTGGCACGGTTTTCTGTGCAGGGCAGAGCTAGAACTTATGCTCAAAGCATGTTCTTGAAGTCCAGTGTAAACACAGTCATGCTGTTTGATGAGACAAGTGCTACAGGGTAATCTCGAGTCACAAGCTCTTTTTGACTTGCAGCATCGGTCACAGGCCTTCCTGTTTCTCCCTTTAGGGCGGACTGGAAGGGAAGGGGCGGACAATCCATTGCTTAGTCGAGATTTACACGTTTGAAAGTGTCTTTGAAGTACATCACTGATTGAGGATCAGTAGCTAGAATCTTGATGCTCTAAAAGACACCAAAAAAACTCACCGACGTTTGAAGGATCGTTGACAAAATTGACATTCAAAGGGTCGGACATTTTCATCTGCCAATGGGATTAACCGAGTTGCTCGAAGATGGCGCTCACTTGGGGGTTACGCATAGCTACTGAAGCAGGGGCCACTCACGAGATAAAATGTGGCGCTGTAGATGCTGCAGGCGAACGAACTGGGCATCACATAGATTGCATCTCATTATATGAACAATGTGCTGTAACCCTTGATCTATTGAGCTGTTGAAAGGCGACAGATCCGAGATAATGTGCAGGCCGAACGGAACAGGTATGAAACGCCAGAGACGTCGAGTAGCTGATGTTTATGATTTCTGTGACAGCAGCTCAGAGAAATATCGGAAGTTGCGGGGGCGGGTAAATTGCCGCGGAACCTCACCCACTCGGACTTGGCAAGTATATTTCCGACTAATGAGAGGTGGATAGTTGATCATCCAGTGAATACTGTATGTAGCTAAGAACTGGTAAAGCAGCTAAATATGCACGACGGGACAGCTGCGGAGAAGAGCTCTGGAAATTGGTCGGCTGCCTATAAATATGAGGCAAAGGCTGCCTCCTGAGTCTGACTTACCATTCACGTCGTATTCGCGTTGCATATATCTGCCATGACTTTCGAAACACCACTCGCGCTACCCCCGGCCACCGACCAGCCCACCTTCAAGCGCTTTTTAACCAGAGTAGCCGAGGTAGTTGGCCGTGAGAACATCCAAGTTGTCACCAGCAAAGACGAACTAGAGGATGGCTCCTACCACAACCAACCTTATACCCATGATCCACACCACATCCTCGACCAGGATCACTTTGTCGCATCGGCTGTTGTCTGCCCCCGATCCGTGCCTGAGGTGCAAGATCTGGTAAAGCTCGCCAATGAGTTCAACGTCCCGATCTGGCCAGTATCGATCGGACGCAATTCCGGATATGGCGGTGCGGCACCAAGACTCCGCGGTAGCATTGTTGTGAATTTGGGGAAACATATTCGCCGCATCTTGGAGGTCAACGTCGAGGGAGCTTACGCGGTCGTTGAGCCCGGAGTGACTTTTGCGGATCTTCATCAGTACTTGGTGGAGCATAACTTGAAGGATAAGTTGTGGATTGATGTGAGATTTTCAGACCCTGCCTAGCCATCATGGCATGAGCTGATCTGAATTATTTGATAGGTCCCTGATTTGGGTGGCGGATCCGTATTGGGGAATGCGATGGAGAGAGGTGTCGGTTACACTCCATACGGAGGTGAGTATTGTCATTTCAGCTTGTTATCACCGCTACCACATGGAAGTTGTCTGACATTGAATGCAGATCACTGGATGATGCATTGTGGCATGGAAGTTGTCCTACCGAACGGCGAATTGATGCGCACTGGAATGGGCGCAATGCCAGAGCCTCGGAAGGCCGGCACTGTACCTGGTCGTTTGGATGAAGAGCCTGGCAACAAATGCTGGCAGCTCTTTCCGTATGGCTTTGGTCCGTATAACGATGGCATCTTTTCGCAAAGCAATCTCGGAATCGCTACGAAGATGGGAATTTGGGTAAGAAGTTTGATGCGCTATACATTGCGACTGAGGTGACATGACCTTGGTGCTAACCCATCGTGTTTATTAGCTCATGCCAAACCCTGGGGGATATCAATCGTACTTAATCACGGTCCCGAAAGAGGAGGATCTCCGCAAAGCCGTCGACATCATCAGACCTCTCAGATTGGTAAGATACATCAACCATGAAATTCTGACAATCGTCGCTAACGGTGCTTTCTAGCAAATGGTACTTCAGAACGTTCCCACTATCCGCCATATCTTGTTAGATGCAGCTGTTCTGGGATCAAAGGCAAGCTACACCTCAACACAAGGCCCTCTTGGCGACGAGGAGCTAGACGCCATTGCCAAGAAGTTGAATCTGGGACGTTGGAACTTCTATGGGGCCCTCTACGTAAATATATTCACTCCACTACAAGTACTCACGAAAACTAACGATTTCTCAAAGGGACCGGAGCCCACCAGGACTGCATTGTGGGGCGTCATCAAGCAGGCCTTCTCAGCAATTGAAGGAGTCAAGTTCTTTTTCCCTGAAGACATCAAAGAGAACTGTGTGCTTCACACCAGACACAAGACCCTCCAAGGAATCCCAACCTTCGACGAACTCAAATGGATTGACTGGATTCCAAATGGTGCCCATCTATTCTTCTCGCCCATTAGCAAGGTCTCTGGCGAAGATGCCATGTTGCAATATTCTGTCACAAAGACGAGAGTCATCGAATCAGGCCTTGATTTCATTGGCACATTCACAGTGGGAATGCGAGAAATGCGTAAGACCCTCCTCAATCGCTGTCAAATCAAGATACTAATTTTCTTATCTGATATAGACCATATTGTCTGTATCGTCTTTAACCGTAAGGACGAAGACGCAAAGCGAAGGGCGCATAGCTTGATCAAGATTCTGATCGCTGATTGTGCCGCTCATGGTTGGGGAGAATACCGGACTCATCTCGCACTGATGGATCAGATTGCAGGGACCTATAACTGGAACAACAACGTTCTGATGAGATTCAACGAGACCATCAAGAATGCTTTGGACCCCAAGGGTATTCTCGCTCCTGGAAAGAATGGTATCTGGCCGACCAATTACGCCCGAACTACTCACAAGCTGTAAATGTATGTATGTGGAGTGGTTTTGTGACAATGATTTCTGAAAACATAAGTCCTCTGGTTTCTGGTTGAATTCTTCTTCAATTTGTCTTGTGAGACTATAACTTGATATCTCAATATAAAGCCAATTTGAGCTCATTTATACCCGTGAGTAATGAGGCTGAAATACCATTCTCCTATCAGAAGTCGCACCAAAGGTCCAGTCCATTCCATAAAAGCCATGTGAAATTACAGCTCAGCCTGAACACGACCAGTGAGACAATCCCTAAGCAGCTTCAAAGCCTCGGTCGCAAATGCAACCATGTTTGCTTCTCTGTCGGTGCCCAGTCCTGTCTCGACCTCTCGCGTAACAGTTCCAGCCTTTGAGCTAACGGCCAGAGCAACATAACCACTAAATATCAAAGGCAATATTAGCAGAGCTATACAAATGTTATGAAGATAAATACGTACGGGGTCCTGTTTCTCGTAGTTCCACCAGTGGGTCCAGCAGTGCCACTCTCACTGATAGCAAAGGTTGAGCCAAGCTTAGTGCGCACATTCTCTGCCAACCCGGCTACTATCTCGGGGGTAGGCCCTTTGTAGTTCTTAATGTGATCTTCAGTCCAACCACCGAATGCGATGCGGGACTCTAGGGTGTACACCTTAAAAGTTTGATATGAGCAAGCGTATGAGGATACGTATCACAGCTCCAGAGGAGTTTACGTGTTACCCACCGTCACGCCTCCCCGGTAGAACCCACTTGCTCCTGGTGTCGCCAGCAGAGTTGAAGATATGAGACCTCCGGCCGCCTTCGGATGATGTTGTTAGCTATCTAGCTTCTAGTGCGCCTGTTGACTAAGGAGTTTAGAGCCAAAAGAAGTAACGAACCGTTTCCGCAACTGAGACAGTTGCCCCTTGCTCCTTTAACAGTGCTGAGACCTCACCGGCGATCTCTCTAATGGTGGTAGGCGGGAACCCCGCAATCTCTGATGGTGTCATTTTCTAGTATCGCTGTCGGTGAACAAAAGAATGTGTGTAGGGGGGAATTGGTGAAGCGGTAAATTGATGTGCGAACAAGAACTTGGTCAAACAAGCATTCGTAGCTGGTCAAGCGGCAGATGACGTTCGGCTGTTCAACTGACCCAGCCACACGTGACCCAGATTACATGCATAGCAGAAACTGCAAACTGATTAAGCGAAGGTGAATACGAAAGAAATTATCTATGGAGTGACGCTTTGTGGAAAAATGTGTTTGGGTTCAATCCTGTCCTACAATTTAGGGACCTAACCAATTGCGGTTGTATAGACAGTTGTACTCTCAACCGAAAAGGATCTTCTCCCCAATTATGCATCAGCAGTTAGCAGCTTCCTGAGTGATTTAGACCAAGTAAACCAAATATGGAGCGTACCCCAGTCGGGATTAACCCGCCTCCGCTTTGCGGGATAACGCCACAAACTATAAAACATGGAGTAAACTATACCACAATGCTAGACTCGTGTTCAAATTCAAATAGTCACTCAGGTAGCACATTTATTGGCGGGAAGTGAGCTCAATTCATGGATGAGCTAATCATAGTCTATAAGATTCGACTACAAACGAGCCTGCGGCTTCCCACCTCCCGGAGTACTGGCGAAGATTTTGTTTTCCCGGCTCTCCAACCGAGCTGAAGTAGATTCAAACAGTCGCGGTAGACCAGTTTGCGCAAATCCAACATCTTTGAGTACCATTTTCGCCAAACCCTCGGCTGCAAGGAAGATTTGTGGCATCCCGTGCCCTGTGAAGCCAGCAATGATATACTTATCCTGCTGTCCGGGGACAAGGCCAACATGCGGTAAACCATCAGATGAGTAGCCCATGACTATTAGAAAGTTCGATGTCAGTCAATTGCAACGAGTATAATATGATAGTGTAACATACTCCCAGTCCATACTCTGTCAGTATAGGCATGACTATTCTCCCAGCCAATGAAATTGCGCTGCATATAGTTATCCCAGTAACGAACAGCTGGCTCGAGTACTCGACTGTCATCGCTGACATTATACCAGCTATCCAGGTCGTCGATAAAGGCCGGCCGGGCTCCTCCAACGACAATGCTACCGTCCCCGCGGGGAATGAGGTAGTCATAGTTCCAGGTGTTCCAACGGAGAGTATACGTGTTCGTTAGCCGAGGAGCTGTTGTACCCGGAGGAACGATGATTCGACTACAAGTCCCTCGTACGGGAATTATCTTGTCCTTGTATTGCGGAACCAGAGAGGAGGTGTAGGCATTCGTCGCCAGAACAACGGTTTTGGCAGAAATGGAGCCCCGGGCAGTCATCACTGCCCAGCGATGGCTTGATCCCGCAGCACTAGACTCCGTGATTTCAGATACTGGAGTATGCGTCTGCAGGTTCACCCCGCGGGCAATCGCCTGCTCTAGGAGATGCAAAACGAATTTGTACGGCCAGATGTGGCCTGCATCGTACGTGAAACACCCCTTTGCCCCTTTGACACCTGAGAACTTTGAAAAGTTAGCCTGTAAGTATTTTGGAAGCAATAAACTTGGTCATACCTTCTCTGCCTCGTTGGTATCGATGTATTTCGCCGTTGTCGTCGGAGCGCATCCCTTCTTGATCAATTTCTCATACCCATCCTTGAGTCTTTTGCTATGATCTGCACTCAGTTGAACATCAACCGCTTTTGTGACGGAATAATCACAATCAATCTTCTCTTTCTCGATAAATTCCTTGAGAGATGAAACATGCTTGGCTTCAAATGCTGCAACCTCGGCGGCAGCGTCAACGCCATGGTCGGCTGCTAAGCCAGCGATGCCATTATATAGATCTGGCTTCATGTGCCCTCCTAAACTCAGGTGTTAATCTTCAGTCAATAGGTCTCTGTGTGGAAATCGTATATCTCACCATTTCGACCAGTGGCACCTGAACAAGCCTGACGCGCCTCCAAAATCAGAATCGAAGGTGGCTTGACTCCAACAGGTGTCTGGCTGAGGATATGATGCGCAACCGAAGACCCCGCATAGCCAGCTCCAACTATGACTATATCACATTTCTCCGGGAGGAACTCAGTAGATCGGTGGCTGTCAAGTGGATGTGGCTCCGTTCTCCAGAATGATGTCATGCCATTTGGAACGGGGGTATGCTTGGTTGCCATGATCGAAGTTGTTAGGGTCTTGTAAAAATCGAAGTAAATTTGTTATTTATTGTCATTGGTAGGGTTGAAGAGGTGAGTGCATTGACCCCGGCCTTTCCACCGGCATCGCATCCGGTCCGGGATCGTCCCGGAGATAAACACCACACTGTAGATAGGCTACTTTGCACGGAAAGCTGAACGATCTAGATATCGTAGAAGAAGACTCAAGAGATATAATCACAAAGAAGCTGGATTAATTAATTATCATCACGGGATGAGCACTAAGCTACGCTGTTTACAAGCCATGTTTGACGCCGGTCTATACAACGATAGTCATATGAATTGACTATCACATACCAGGTTACTGTAAATGAGAAATTGAGTCTGTTATAAGAGTTATATTTTTATTTGAATTCAGTATTCACAAGACTATCTATCCTGACTTAAATCGATGCCTGGTTTGCAATGATCTTGTCCGCCATTTCTGGCAAAGTATCAGCCATAACGTCCATCTCTCCAAACAGCTCAGATAGGGACTCCTTTTCCCAGATATGACAGTAGGCACCCTTAAATCTAGAATTAGGAAATGTTAGTACTGTTCAACAATTCAGGATAAAATGCATACCCTGCTACCTTGGCTGCTGAAACATCCCACATATGGGCTGCCGCAAACCACGGAATCTTCCCATCACTCTCAGACTTGAGACGCTCAAGCAAGGGATGGTAAGCTGCCAGGTCAGGCTTACCCACACCGACATCATCACAAGACAACAAGTTCTCGGCGGGGAGCTCCACACCGGCATTCTTGAAGTAGCCCCCGACGCGGGTGATATCTGCAGCAGTAAAAGCCCATACGGTAAACCCGGCATCCCTGAGCTTTTGGACACACTCCGCAGCACCAGGCCGGAACTCGAGGAGCTGGTACTCCTTCATGATGAACTCCAGATCTTCGGGTGTTGCCCAAGACCGGGGCTCAGCAATACCTGCCATCCAGAGCATGCGGTAGAAAAGGGCGCGGAAGACTTCGCCAAATGGCACATATCTTTGAGACAAACTGAGATTGGTGTATTCCCGCTCAGCGGCTTCCATCCATGTATATCCCAGGAGACGGGGCTTGATGCCCTCTGCGCGCAGTCGGTCACCTAGGCGGGTATCGAGTGCCTCAAAGACATGATCATAGGACACGAGGGTTCCCACAATGTCGAATACAACGTGCTTGGAAGACATGTCTGTAATTGAGGTTGCTTATCTTGAATTGAGAGGTTAAATCTGGAATAGCCTGGCAATGAAGCAGGGGATTGAAGCGATAAAGAGCAACGAATCGATCAGATAAATAGCAGCGAATGAGTCACCTCCGTTCATTTATCAGCATTATCTGCGAATCATTGCTAGCTAGCGAAGTATGCGATTCATGCATACCCCGCTCAGTCCCGGCGGGAAGTCCACCGGCAACTTTGATAGACCGTCTAGATAACGATAAGGATAGACAACTATATACATCTACACTTTATGGGCGGTGGGTATCCCTCGGGATTATTCTCAACCCCAACGGAGAATGAGTCAATTTCCAGATATTTCGAAAGGGGGCGCAGAGGTCAAAGGGGGCGATGCCAGCGACTTGGAGCGCACAGCTACTTCGGGAACAGAGCATCATGGCAGTACTGTCATTATTTCCCCAGCAGATACTGCTGGGTATCACCGATCCTTGACAAGGCGCCAAATCATGATGATGACCTTTGGCGCTGGTATCGGGACCGGTCTTTGGGTAGGCACTGGACAGGCTCTGTACTATGGTGAGTGAAGCCTAGCATCACAAAAATTGAGAATAGTTGCAAGATATGAATGGAGATTGACCATATACAGCTGGACCGGCGGGAACCGCAGTAACCTATACCATTACTGCGTATGGCACCAAACAACCCTTCACCCTTGGATGACTCGCTAACATATCCGAAGAATGATCGTCTATGCCCAATACTCCTCTGTTGGAGAGATGACCACATACAAGCCTATCCACGGAGGCTTCATTCGACAATGCGCAGAGTACGTGGACCCGGCATTCGGCTTTGCAATTGGTGTCAACTTCTGGTTTGCAGTATGTTAACCCCTATCCCAAGGCAACTCGATATATTGACGTTACATAGTGGGTGATGATCATCCCAGCAGAGATAACAGCAGCGATATCCGTCCTCAAGTACTGGCCCGAAACCGACGTCATACCCCTAGCAGCATATATCACAATATTTTTGGTAGTAATTGCCGCAGCTAACATGTTCCATGTCCGAGTATACGGCTACATTGAATACTACATGTCATTCATCAAGTGTCTTGCAATTGTTTTGATGATCTTTTTCATGTTCATCATGACTTCAGGAGGTATTGCTGCAACGAACGGTCCCATCGAGTTCCGATACTGGAAAAACCCTGGTGCCTTCAATAATGGCATCAAGGGTATCGCGAAGGCATTTGTGCAGGCTGCTTTCAGTTTTGGCGGAGGTACGTTATTTCCATCAGAAGACGCATTAAGAAACATCTAATACTCTATCAGGCGAACATATCGCAGTAATAGCCGGCGAAGTAGCCGATCCACGACGAACTATCAAGAAAACCGTTCGACCAATCTTCTGGCGGATGTTTACCTTCTTCGTTGTTAATATCTGGCTCGTGGGCATGTGTATTCCATCTAACGACCCACTTCTGTCGAAAAGCGGCACACTAGGAAGTCCCTTTGTCATTGCCATTAAAAGAGCAGATGTATACGGTCTCGCGCACGCTATCAACGGATTTATTTTCCTAAGCGTTATCAGCTGCGGGATTACAAGTGCTTATATTGCCAGTCGAAGCCTAACAGCTCTCGCTGATCTCAATATTGTTCATCCATTTTTTGGCAGGAAAGATAAACAAGGTCGACCTTATGTGTCGCTCATTATCAGTTTGGGTATCGGTGGTGGCTTGTGCTATCTTAACACCGACAGCGTCGGAACTTTGGTCTACGGCTGGTTCTCTTCATTGGTGAGAAGTTTGGTGTGAAACAAAAGCGTTCAGTATTGACTATTTCTTCAGGTTGCGATCGCCACACTTTTCCAATGGGCTTCGATCTATATCGCCCACCTTCGATTCCGGCAAGGTCTTAAAGCTCAAGGCAAGGACCTTGGAAGTCTCCCATTCAAGGGCCTCCTTACCCCATGGGCACAGTACTTCGGTCTTATCATTGTCCTATTCGTCTTCGGCTGTGAATTCTATCTGGCTTGCTGGCCATTCAAAGAGAAAGGCTCAGTGAAGAGTTTCTTCTCTTCTTACCTTGCCGCTCCGCTGTTCTTCTTTGACTACTTCGTATACAAAGTGAGGAAACCGCCTGTCGTGAATTGCTGCATTTATCTGACTTGAGCAGTGGTATTACAAAACAAACATAGTCAAGCCTATGGAGATGGACTTTGGCCCTGCACGAGAATTTGATGAACAGGATATTATCAACGCCATTGCCACCGAGGACGCAGATAGGAACACAGAGAAGAGCAAGCAGACGACATGGATCAAACGGGCTCGGTATATGGTATTTGGGTGAATTTTATTAGTCCCGGTCACTCAACAGTGTGAATCATTTCGACAGTAGCGAGAGAATATTTGAATCAAATTCCATATCGTTGTTCGACCAATCAGGATTGAAGAATCCGGTCATGTCATTGAGATCGGGATTTGCAAAGTCTCCAGTCCCAGGCGTAAGATGCGAAAGTGGACTGAAAGATGATATCTCCATATTACTACCAACTGCGCCCTTATCTTTCTTTAAGGATTGTGTCCAGTCTTTGAATTTTGCATAGGCGGAGATGGTGCTGTGTTCTGTGTTTGGCTGAGAAGCGACATCTCCCTCAGGAGCTTCAAGGAGCTGACTGATAGCCGCTTCGATAGACTCGATGTATGATATCTCCGATTGGGAAGAGCTTCCTCCAATCATTTGACGTATGAGACTCATTCCACGTTGTAAGCCATCTTGCAGCCTTTGAGATTTTCCCGAGTTGAGACTTTCCGCAAGTATCACGAGAAGAGCAGCTCGACAAGCCCCGAATTCGTTGTAGGAGGCTCGACAAAGACCGACGTGGTCTGATAAAGACTGGAGAGTGTTGAGGATGTCCAAAGCACTAGATACGCAGTCATCCACTAGAACTGATCGGCGTGCTTGCCCTGCATCGTTATCTGCACTGGGCCCACCTTCGTTATTGGGATCCTTCTTGTCGACAAATATAAACGGGCGGCCCATGTAAACGTAAATGAGTAGGTAACACAGTCGTAGATGCGAGTTTTGCCGGAAAAGAGGGCCTTGGGAGCATAGGTCTCGACATTCTATAGTGGCAGGTAGGGAATCCCACCACTGCTTGATGCTAGTCCTCAATCGTAGCAGTCGCTCGGAGTATTCGGATAGGAGCCTCTTGGGACATTTCTTGAATTGGGATCTAATGGTATATCAGCCCCTTGTCTCTATTTTTTAAGTCCAAAATGGCAATCACTTACAACGTCTCTGCCACTTCGCCTAGGTATGAAATCAAGGTATGGAAGGCAGTCATATTTGCAAACCGCGGCGACTCGAATGTAGAATTATCCGTTGGAAGATCGGCGTTGATCTCGGATCGAGCTATAGATAGGGGGCGTCCATGCATAATGCTAACATATCTGTGAAGAATTAGCTTTCATCCTCGAGAAGTCATGCCCACTCACATACTTCTCTACGGTATAGGCAGTCCAGAATAAACGGTTCCTCGTTTCAATTGTTCGAGCATCGATGTCCCCACCGACATATTTGCGATGCATACCGTTCTGTATAGCCATTTTCATTGCGAGCCCGTAATAAGTGTATGCCAACCCCCCAGTCGACACCGGCAAGGAGTATGTTGCAAGAAGAAGAAACACCTGTACACTCTCATGAGACGCAACTAAAAGCACATCCGGAATGAGTTTGCAGGCCACATGGTAGAATACAAGTCCGACAGAGTCCTCGGAGCAAAGAGTCAGATCATCAGCTGTTTCGGAATCTGGCTTTGGCTTTTCATCTTCCATGTGTGCCACCTGAGTACCAATTGCGAGGACAGCAAACACAGAGCACACCCATGGGAAATCACTGGCACTGTAGTTTGTGGTATGGTCGTAGCAAAGGCCCACTTTTTCCTCGATCCACTTTCGTTCCATGTAAAAGGAATTGATCTCGGCGTATTTGAAGAACATACTGACGAGGAAGTCGGCGATGGCTTTCGGTGGTAACTGGGTCATAGAATTTGTAATGACTTCGGGGGAGGATTGAAGCTGTGTTGGACGCCAGTATTCTTTGACCTATACCGCGTTAAAGAAAAGCATCTCGGCTTGAAGAGCAATACACACCCTGGTATCAAGCTGATCAATCTGGCAGCTCATTTTGCGACGTATCTTTTGCGAAAAGTTCCAATGCGAGAATTCTCCGGAGTAATGCGCCATGTTACTCGACACGAAATGCACATCGAATGACTCGTTCACGTTTAGGGAACTCTCCGGTTGAGTCGAATTTGTTGCCTGGTTTTGCAATTTGTCGGCAATCCGGCCAATATTCTCCTGATCTAGAGGTACATCTCCGAGGAAGTGTTTCACGATATACTCTAGATTTTGTACTCGCTGGGGATCCTCTCTGGGAACAGACACAACGGGTATAGTCGAAACACCCGGCGTCGACAGATTCGAAATCTCTTGTCCCTGAAAATGGCATGGTCGGCCAAGGCGCTCACATCGCCAGCATGGAGGACCACCCTCACATTTCTCCTTTTGCTTCCGGCAGGTCTCGCAGCTTCTAGTTGTCAGCTTCCAGCATCAACCAGAGCAGAAATTCACTTACGCCAATGAAGCGCGTCTCTTCTCTCCTCGTTTGCGCTTAGCGGGATTCATCTTAGCCATGTAAATTGATCAACGACGAGAAAGCCAAGAGACGAAGTTCGAGTCTGTTATCATGCGGGGAAGCGGTGACCAATCAAAGGCCGTTGTTAGTATAGGTGGCTCCTTCCCCTTTGGGACTGGACAATCCGCATAAATGGTTGGTGAAGCCTTCGAATGCTTCTAGAACAACCTTAACCTTGTCACGTGGTGTAGCAAGCCCCAGGTCGAAGTATATCGGACAGGCCGCCTGGCTGTGCCTGGGTAGAGAGCTTATAGAGAACGCAGCAGTGCAAGTGCCTGGACAGGCACTCATCTCGGCGAATCATAGCTGGCGACTCATAACTTCCCGATTGAGTGTATTGTCGCAGGCCGTATAATCAGCAACTCATACCTAAAAGCCATCCCATAAAGCCCATCGCATCCTCGTCGCGCATCGTCGCGCATCGTATTTTATTTGCATTTTAAGCCGATATTTCGCTTCAGTATTTCCTTCTTCTTCGACAATCCCAACCTCTTCGTGAATACTCTGCTTGCTCTTGCATCCTGCATTCACCCTTCATATCGTTTTGCTACTATCCCGTGCCCATCTGTATCTTGTCCATACAGTCTACTTCTTTTCATCCAATCTACTTCTTTCCATCCCATCTACACCGTTTCATCCCATCTTCACCAGTTTCTTCAATTGATTTGTCTCAATCGCTTTGCCTACAATATGACTTGTACCGCACTTGGTGAGACCGGCAACATGTGCCTTTGCACTGGTTGCCAGCGAGAGAACGAAATTCGCGACCCCGATTCGCTGTGCAATGGCTGTGGTCATGCTCTCGAACTACACTCCATTCCTAGAGGTACAGTTAACCCCCTATTTGCATGACTTTTGTTTAACAATTGTTTAGAGTTGTACAACTCCTCCTTCCCCATAAGGACCTGCCCTCGAGACGAGACCGTTAGGGAACTTGCTGGAAATCTCCAAGGACGGCAAAACAGACTGTTCTGTGGTATCCCAGGATCCGGAAAAACGCAACTTGCAAGGGAACTCTACAACTACCTACTCTTTCAAAGGTTCAAGGTTGTTTTGATCTGGAACTTTGACCCATCAGGATTCACCAACATCACGAACATCACCGACTACCTGCTATGGCATGTTGAATTTGAAGGATTTCGATCATCGCCCAATACTATGTGGAGCGACAATATCATTTTCATCATTGACGAAGCCCATAAGTCTTATGGCTGCGACGAATTCTGGCACTGGGTCAACAAATGCAACGACGACCGTATGGAAGGGTTCATGGGGCCTACTTTCTTGCTTTTCAGCAATTACGGCCCAAGTGCGATGGTCACATCTCCCAACAACGGCGAAGGAAACATGGACCGCCCTATCATCCCATTCCCCGAGGATCTGTCACTTCACTATGATCTCGGGGAGTGTGTGCGGGCCATCGACCTCTACCTTGAGAAAATGGGAGACGAGTATGACATTGACAACGTCATGAGGGGGTATGTGTTCGACCTCACCAACGGTCATCCCAGGCTGGTAAACTGGATCCTGGAGTTCGTCAACGAAGTATGTTTCATTTCAAAGTTCTCCAATAACTGACAAGTTTCTAACTTTACTTTCAGCTCTATCAGGCCCACTTCAAGCGGGCTGGAATCCGCATGTTGGGTGTGGGAGAGCTCGACGAGGCCCTCACCTCGTCGGGGGTGCTGGAGGGCCATCTCCGCACCGCCGCGTTCAACACCGGCCTACCAATGGTCGGAACCGGCCTCTTCCCCCCAACTGCGGGGTTCCAGGTGTTGATCAACGCCGTGGCCGGGGGAGATGAGGGTCTCCCCTGGGACGCCTCAAACGAGGCAATGCGGGCCTGCGTCCGAAATGGCTGGCTCGCCATCAAGAGCCACGCTCGCGGTGTGGGGGGACTGAAGTGTCAGTTCCCAACCCCTCTTCACAGGAGGTAAGAGTTATTTCCTCTCAGTATTTGAGCGTCTTCACTAACTTTTATATGTTAGGGTGGTCAAGTTCCTGGTGGCGGTGGCCAACGGCCACCTTGAGGTCCATGGCGCCGATGGCGCCAGTGCCCTGCTCATGCTCGGCATGGAGGGGATGGACCTCTGATAAGTTTTGAGGAGAGTCGTGGGGGCGGTTGTTTTGTTGGTGAAGGTGGTTTGGGGGGGGGAGCGCGCAGTGGCCCCTAGTCAATTTGCTTTTTTTCGAATGTATATATAGAAAGAATTCATCTGTTTGATTATGATTCAACTGCGTTCTCCTTAGTGTCTAATATTCTTGTAGGATAGAGGTGTGGGACGTTAGTTTGCGTAAAAACTTAGTGAGTGTGAAGTTCTAAGCTTAAGCTATAGCTTGATGATAAAACCAAACTGAGAGGAAATTCCGGATTAAGTGAGAGAGAACTCAACTTTATATAAGCTAAATTCTAGCTTTATTATTGCTAGACGAGGAGAAAAGCAAGAGGAAACTTTGAATAAAATGAGAGCATATTACGCCTTTATTGTGCTTAAAGAGTCGATAAGTAAGAGGGATGTTCGATTTTTATAAGACAAAAGTGCGACCTAAATAATCCAACCTTAACAATAAGTCTGAGACAAGAGGTAAAATACTAATTGTTATATAAGCCACACGCACGAATCGCATAGCTTTTCCGAACGACCAGGATG